GTGGACCATCTGAATGGCAGAGCAGCAGCTGCTGCCTTTTATTGAATGTTTATTATGTGTGAGACATTGTGCATGCATTTCCTCAGCTAATCCTCACAACTCAGATGAGATTCTGTTCACACTGACTGACCAAGGCCTCTCAACTAGTGGCAGAACTTGGGAGAAAAACTATGGGCTTCAACTCTAGGTTACTGTATAAAAAGAGGAGTGGTGGCACGTCACATCAAAGGAACACCAAATAACCCTTTACCTTTGAATATGGGATGATGGTGGCAGGCTGTTTACGTTTTCTGTGTAAACCTTATCGTAGGAGATCCCAATAATGTATTAGGTGACAGAACAGACCAAGTTCCTAAAAACTGTTTAATGTTTTTTGCTCCATGAAGAATAATTCACACCTGATAACTAAGAGCATAACATATATGAACCAATTAATTTAGCCAATCAGACTTTAAAAGAGTCTATACATTTTTTTAAAAGCCAATATAATCCAGCCTGTATGAGCAATTTTCTAGGCTTATATGGATGTCACAGGCACAACAAACTAAGTCTACTGGAGTGGCAAAATCATAGAGGTAGGGAGGACGACTTCCCACCTGCTTGTGTAACTAAGCATCTATTCCTACTTCCTTATGGGAACAAACCAAAGAACTTGGCCAATAATCAAATCAATCTGTTCCAATGAATTTCCAGGATTCCTGGGAATACAGTTTCATCCTATCTATGATTTTAAGCTGAGCACTACCGAAATACAAGAGAAATTCTGTAGCATTTACAACATTCAGTAAGATACCTCAAAGCTCTGCCATTCCTAATAAACCAGAATGTCAATGTGTTAATACACAATGGAAAACATCAAGTGGGCAAAAATAATGAAATAGGTTGCTAAGTGCATCCTCTCCCCTACAGGAGGGTTCACATGGATAGCAGCATTTTAAGATTCACATTTGTTCTCCCCCCAAATATCTTTTATATCCATTCCCTTCTCTCCAAACTCATTCCCACATTTCTCTACTATAATGGCTTTTAAACCTTGACCACAGTCCATAGCGAGAAATACACTCATCAGTCAACAGAGAGTCATATAACTGAAACAAGTTTCACAAAACTTCACATACCCCTATTACATGTGACACACCTTGTCTTTTTTCTACTCTACTTTTTAAATGTAGATTGCAACCTACCAATGGGAACACCCTTAATGAAAACCCCAATCTACTACAGCCATTATTAACTCACCTTCCATACTGGCACTGATCTACAACAGTTCCCTGGGCTCCTCTCTGCGCCCCTTCAGTTGTCACTCCTGTCACCCCATACCGGTCACATCCCTCCAGTATAGCAATGATCACACTGTTTTGTGATCATTTTTTAAAATCAGTCTTGCCTAGACTATGAGTTATCTTTGTATCCACATCAAACTTTATTGCTCACTGAATAAACGAATGAACGTATGCTATAATTTTGTACGGGTCAATAACTCCATTACCTTAATAATTCAGTCCATCGATATTTGAATACATACACTTTTTCTAGATTTTAAAGTAAATATATATTTATTCTAAGAACTTTCTTTTTAAAGTATGGCTTCAATATATGGATATTTTCCTTCATTAAAAATTTGCTCAGCAGCAGCCAGTCTGACTTGGGATATTTGTCTTGAAATTGATCCAATGAATATTTTCAATTTCAATAACTACTCTGGCAAGTAAGAGCATACAGGATTTCCAAAACCAATACATTAGGTCAGTGTCCGAGGCACAGCACAGTTCACGCAGTCAATGCAGTGTTAGACCATGTGTTTCCATTTCTCAATGCTAATCACTTCTGATTTGAAGATAAGCTGTCAGGTGCATTAATCTATTCAGCATCTCCCACCATCCCCAAAGAAGGCTCAAAGAAGGCTTTACTTTCTCCTTTTCAAATAATTTCGGGATATTTTGGTAGAGCAGGATGACTTTTTAAACAAGCAACTTTTAAATAGGTCACTGTTATATAAGAGTAACACAGAACACACACTGAATTCATGCAGGGAACATTCTCAAGTTCCCTGTCCACTTTACCTTTATCACTTTTCCCAATTTTTACTTTTACATTTCAATCGACTTGGGAAGTCTCTATCTTTCTAAATTCCATCACCATTCAATATTTTCGTTTCTACTGCTACTACCTTAGTCCAAATCTGAACTAGTCTTAGGGAGCTCCTAGATTAGCCTCGCTATGAGACCTGGGCAACCTCTACCACTCTCCATATGAAAATATTAAGACCAACACATCAAGGTCACAGTGAGTATCACATGAAATAGTGTGCATGAGAGAGCCTGGCGGAGGGCCTGGCAGCAAACAGGTGCTAATTAACTGTAAGGAACCTCCTCTCCTCCCCTCCCCTGCCCCTCCTCCCCCTCAGGCAGGAGGGGATGTGATGGGGATCTGGCTGCTGAGGGGACAAATGTGCTTGTCAAAGTAAAGCTCTAAGAATACAACTAATGACTCTTGGGCCAAGAACTACTTTCTTCCTCCCCTCCCCCTCCTCCTCCTCCTCCTCCTTCTTCTTTCTTTCTCTCTCTTCTCTCTCTCTCTCTCTCTCTCTCTCTCCAGTCTTGGGCTTCACAGTAAGATTCATATTGAACCATAAATGCGATTGATCTTATCCACATCAAATTCCTCCAGCAGTTCCCCACACCCTAGGACAGTGATTCTCAAAGTGTGGTCCCAGACCAGTAGCATCTGCACCAACTGAGAACTGATGAGAAAGGGAAATTCTCAGGCCCCACCCCAGACTTTCTCAATCGGAAATTCTCCAGGTGGGGGCCAGCAATCTCTTTCATAAGCCTTCCAGATGACTCTGATGTATGTTCAAATGTGAGAACCGCTGACCCGGAATAAAGTCCAGCCTGGCACTGTGGAGTTTCCCAAACCAGTTTTCTCCCAGTTATTGTACTTGCTTTCTCAGACCTCTTCCAAGGAAAGTTTACTCATTATCTCTGTTGACTTTCCCAGCTCAGATGTTACTCACCTTTTATGTCCTCCCCCTCTAAGACACCTCTCCTGTCTGACCCAGCTTAAATCCCACTGTTTTCTTAAATCCTCACCTGATCATCCGTTAACAGGAATTTTTTCCTCTTTCAATACCAATTATTTCTGAAGACTCTGGTGATAATCTGCAGAAGTCACAAACTGACTGTTCCTGGCTCATAGAGGAGATGTGAGTAAAATGACTGCCAATAACATTTTTAAAAATTGTTTAATTACATAGAAATATATACTTCAGCCTGTGTTGGGGATTGTCCCCACATGGCAACAATCAGCTGAGAGGCAAATGATTCAGGCACTCACCACCACTTTCCAGGGCAGGCACAGGTTTTCTTCAGACAACTCTGAATATCTCAAACCATGACTACCTTCTCTTACGGTCATGTAACTTTTCACATGTTTATTTTGTCTCCAATAGAATACAAGCCTTCAGAGAACTGAACTGTTTCTGTTTTTCTTTTTAATTCTTATTGCGTTGAACAAAAAAATGATGTGAAGTGCTTACTACATAGAAGAATATTCTGGGCATCCTGGACGACCCCAAAATGATTTAGAACCTGCACAGACCTTCAGGAAACGTTTGGTTTTCCATCAACTTGGAAAAGATACAATAGCCTTTCTTGAATTTTGTTTTCGAAAAGTAGTGTACTAGGGCACAACGCTTAAGAAAGGTTTTAAAGAAATATCATTTGGCACAGGTTGTCTTTCGATCTCTAATGAGAAACGCCAATTATCTGCATACAGTATGCTTGCTGGAAGAGGCTGGGCCCGCGGGTACAGTATTTGATACCTAGGAGCTGTTTAAACCCTGTTACATCCTGGATTTCCCTTCATACAAGATGCGTTTTAATTTTACCTCTGGCAGTAGTTACACTGGACTACCGTGCTTTTCATGGGCCCATGCACTGGTGAACCATTCGCCGGCTTGGGCAGCGGCAAGGGGCGAGCCCTACTGTGCACCACGGTGAGCTCACAAACCTGCCCCAGGTGATGCACTCGCACTGTTCTCAGAGCTCGTCCTTAAGGAGAAACAAACAGGGAACCCTCCCTTTGCGCCCATCTTGCCGACGCCTGCCCGTCCACACATCCCGCACACCCCATGCGATATTCTTCTCTTCCTTCCCCCACCCCAGATCCTCCAGGGGGCGCCCCCGAAGTCGACTGGGCACCCCCGGCGGACTGGCTCCGGCCGCGCACAACCCCCGCCCCATACTCACCCACCAAGGCCAGGGAAGTGCAGCCCCGCCCCGGCCCCGCCCCTTCCGCCGACCGGGTTCGCCCCGCCCCGTGCTCTCCGCGGCGCGCAGGCGCAGCGCCCACTGCCGGGCTCCAGGGAGCCGAGTGGCAGCTCGGGGCGTGGCCAGGTCCCGGCGGACGTGGCCGCGGGATTCCGGCGCGTGGCGGGGACGTGTA